GTTACTACAAACTGGTTAGAACTTTGCCACCTAAGAGCAAGGATTGGAAATGGAAACGCGTATTTAGTATTTTTGTCGGGTATAACAGGGATTGCACACGGAAATTATCCTTTTATTCACAAAAGAGGTAAGTGTTCTTTTATTTGGTCGTCTCTAGTTTTTAATAATATTTGGTTAATCAAATTTTTGAATTTTATTCAAAATCAAAATATTTCTCTGGTTAACTCCACACTCTAGAAAACTAGATGGATGCCATGTAAGAAAACATTACAAATCATTCACGGACCAACAAATAAAATAACACTCATCTATTTTTGGAACGAAAATGTTCGACGCGTTTTCACCTCAAAAATGACCTTGAACGCTTGGCTGTGTACTTCCCCGAATAAAATCCATATTTGTGCCAGGTATAACTAAAAACATCTATACATCAAGCGACCACGAAATCTGTTGCTATACACAATATGTAAACACACACAAACGCGGGTCCAAAAATAATACTATATAATGTTTCTTTGAATCTTCTCATCAATCAAGTGTCATGTTTCCCATTCTGTCGATGTCGTTCACGTACCATATGAATACGACATCGAAACCACTCATTGTCTACGACATATCCCTGCATACAGCAAACTGCGGGAATCGTATTTCCAGTATGTCCCTTTCCTCGCTAAATATAAGATCAAATTAATAAAGTATTAAAACAGAAAAATGCACGTTTAACGTTTAAATCAATTGAAAGTTGATTACCTACTGCAGTCTTTATCATTGTCAAAGTCTGGCTATATTTTTTTGTTTGTGACGTTGGAGGCTGGAACTTGCAATGTGCTAGATGCATTGACATCGTGAGAAACAGGAAATATGCGCGAGCGTCTTTGCGTGCCGTGGTCGCACGAAGTGCTTCGATTGCCTGCTGTTGATGTGAAACCAGCTGCTTGCGTTTCTGTTGTTGAGACTATACCAAGTTTAGCGCCAAACAAAACCCGGAGTTGTTTTCTGAATTTCGGACTACTCATCGAGTACAACAAGAAGTTGATAGCATTGTTGAAGTAGAGGAGAAACATCGCAATATGCCAGTACAGTGTTATACTAGCGTTGCCTCTGGCATCGGCACTAGCTCGCCACGAATCAGCCCCAATATTGTGAATCATCAGCGGACAAGACGTCAGCAAATGTACAAAACTGACGCTAATCAACATCGCTGTCGTGGAAGCCATGTTGATTGTTTTAACCGATCCGCCAGTTGTAGGAACGTGTTTCTTAGCATTTGCGATCTTGTAGATGATGAGCGTGTTGCAGATAAGGAGGACGATGAACGGCAATAGGGAAAGCGTACAAAGGTCGACCCAAACAAACACTCCCAAAAATATCGCTCTGTTATTTTCAGAGTCCCATGTGCAGATCGTACTACCATCGTCGTTCTCGACTACTCCATACAAAAACCAAAGACAGAAGTTAATACCGATGAGAATCAAGAGACCCAAAATGGATACAATCGTAAAGTTCCTCTTGGAACATAGCGCCTTGGATTTGTGTGGCATGCAAACTGCTACAGCACGCTCCAGTGCTACGATTGCGAGTAACCAACAAGAGTAGTCACTATTCACGAACATGATAAACCGCTCGGCCTTACAAGCAAAGGAGCTAGAGGCGGACCAATCATATCCCCTTGCGATAAGAGTCATCCATGTTCCAGCAAATATCAGATTGGTTGTATCAGATACAGATAGAATTGTCAATAGAAAGTTAGTAGTGCTTGAGCGCATTCCTCTTCTGGTGAGAATTATAAACGATAAAATGTTGCCAACACATCCCAATGTTATCATTGGTGGATACCCATATTTCCAGAGATTTGTAGCTTCGAGAGTTTCCTGAAATTCATCTGATGGTGTTTCTTCCGATGTAGTATTAGCCATTGTGTCGATGTGTAAGTCCTCACATTGTATACCTGTGTTTGTTAATTATATTTTGCAACCGGAAATATGAGGAACCATAACTGCAATGACCAATTTACCATCTGTGGTTCAACTTTGGCAATAAAAATAAACAATCAAATATACCAAAGTTGAAAATAATTTATTTTCTGCGTGATCAGAACGCTTACTTGATCCAACTGATTTATGGCTGCGTTTGATTCTCTTTCTAGTGAAAACAAATCGTACCTCCTTTATATAGTTGTGTTATATAACAGAGCAGGTGATCATATATCTAATGAAGGTAATCATGAATAAATGAGTAAATATAGAAATTAAGGACACGTAGTGTGGTCTCTAATAGGTTATGATCTAAGAGAATCTGATACCCATGACTCTTCTTTGACTTTTACATTTCAATCCCAGTACCAAGATATAAAAAAAAATCAGAAACAGAGACCGAAAGCTAGCTATATACTGTTGTGTACAATGTGGTATCAGCTGGCAATAAAGCAGATCTTCTCATGTTTGCATGATTATATATATAAAATATCAATGTATTGTTAGCGTTGTTAATTGCTATCGGGGGGATTTTCCATTATTTTATAATATTTCACGCTCTAGGTGAAATGAATTGACTAAAATTCTTGAGACGATACCAAGATTGTAAACAGGTGTAACATGCCCCTATGTGATTTAGTTTCATTTATGTCATTTTAAGTGAAATATGGATTTGAGATTTAGGCAGTTTTGATCATGATCAATGACAATATTGTCTATGTTGCAGACGCAAGATAGTTCTCTAAATAGCTAAGCATTAAAGGCTTCAATTCCAAGAATGAAGATTATTAGATATATACTGTTCGGTCGACGAGGTTTACATGACAATTATTGGAATTACACTATGAGCCTTTAAGGGGTCCTTCTTTAGATTCAAATGTTTTTAATTAGACATGTTAGAGACGCTTAATTATAAAGCATCTAGAACTCTCGTCGCTGTGCAAAGTAGGGTCTAAAAGAATGCCACAATTTGTCTCAATCAAGGTCCCGATACGCCATTGGAAAGTAAGAGTGTCAGCTTTAAGGATTTGGTCTGCTTCGGAGATGACTTTTTGTACCGGTTACAAAGTTGAAAAATCAACATTTTTATCACCAAGGGATAAAATCAAGAAATGAATCATAATATCTCAATCCAATTTTTGTCAATAATTTTATTTTTACAATTTACATGTCCATCGAAACAAGATTAGTGTTCTATGAAACATGCTTTTGTATAATAATGATGTTTGACCTTGATGGGTTTGCCTTTGAAATGATCACAAAAATATGAAAATGATGCCAACTTGTTAACCCCCGCTTGATCCCATACTAAAGTTGTAAAGCTATAAGTGTACAAAAACTATTCTTTGAACGTTTTAGAAATTATACTAGAATACCCGATTTTGTAAAACAAATACTGGAAGAAGCTTCAGAGTTTTTCGAATTATTTCAGTAGTTATAACACGAGTAGGCTCAACTATCAACCCGAATATCTTAAGTTAGATGATACCACGCTAGAAAGTGTATACGGAATGAATATGAACTTTAATATGAAATAACAATTGTCTGATTGCAAACAAATGTGCTCGAGGCCTGAAATTAACATTTTCTACCACAATTTACATATACTCTGCTATATATATTCGTTGCCTGGGGAACCCAATCACCATCCTAAATTAAATTACATAATTGTTTTAAATCAATCAACCCTTGATAACAATTATTGCGATTTCAAATTGTAATATGGACTTGAATATATATGTGATTTTGAATATATTATATATGAATTTGAAAATATACATATGAGCAGATTTTTAAAATGCATTGGATTAACGTACTATTTGTGGCCATATGTGCCATCGGATATGATTCCGTAGCGGCTGCATATATGGATAGGGACTACTATAGAAATTCAAGAGCATCAACGTATAATCAGTACGAGAACAATGATGAGCCCGACTATGTTCCCACGCCGAACGGAAGGTCAAGCGCCGGCTACAGAGGCAGATACAGGAGCCCCATCGGGAGGGAATATGGGGGATATGGACCTTATTACAATCAACAGTTGTCCAGTGATTATTTATCTGGAGATAGGTACAATCATCGAGGCGGTGGCGCTTCCCAGTATAACCAACACAGAGGTACAAACCCCAGCAATTCTCAGTTCAAAAAGATCTCTAGAGATTTTGACCAAAGATCTTACTCGGATGATACATTTGAGAAAAAACAATCGGATGAAGACACTCCAGTGGATTCTAACCGTAAAATCATAGAATCTAGCGAGCAAAAAAGAAAAAGAACTCCTGCAAGAGCAATTGCAGCCGACGTTCAAAAGAAAAGGCCCGTATCTCAACAGGAACCCCGCGAACAAATCAGAACAAAGATTACAACTGAAGAGAGTCGGGTGCCTGCTTTGAGACCAACGAGACAACAACTTCAGCAACGTATACTTAGTAGTGAGAAATATGTCGAAAGTAAGAAACCTGCTGTAAGAGATCTCCCTAAAGAAGCTGCAAAAGAAAACCTTGGTGGGAATTTCGAACCAAGTAGTCGAGATGAATTTATGAAGAGTGAAGAACCAATTGTGCAGACTAGACCTGAAAATAGAGATGTCCCAAAAAAAGCAATAACGCAAAAATATTATGAAGATTTGGAACCAAGTAGTAGTGAAGAATATATGAAGAGTGAAGAACCAATTACGCAGACTAGACCTGAAAATAGAGATGTTCCGAAACAAGAAATAAAGCAAAAATATTTTGAAGATTTGGAACCAAGTAGTACAGAGGAATTTGTGAAGAGTGAAAAATCAATTACGCAGACTAGACCTGAAAGTAGAGATGTCCCGAAACAAGCAATAAAGCAAAAATTTTATGAAGATTTGGCACCAAGTAGTAGGGACGAATTTATGAAGAGTGAAAAAGCAATTACGCAGACTAGGCCTGAAAAAAGAGATGTCCCGAAACAAGCAATAAACCAAAGATTTTATGAAAATTTGGAACCAAGTAGTAGGGACGAATTTATGAAGAGTGAAAAATCAATTACGCAGACTAGACCTGAAAATAGAGATGTCGCAAAACAAGCTACAAAGCAAATCCTTTTTGAAAATTCAGAATTAAGTATTAGACGTGCTAAGGATTCCAATCAAGTCACAAGAACGCCAATTAATATATATAATCCGGTTGGGAATGAGAATAGCGACGATGATGATGTTACAATTGAAGTTGAAGATAAAACCATTGAAATAGAAAATGAGCAACCACTACCTCGATCTACCACTGTTCCTAAATCAGCTGAATCCAAATCTTTCAAATCGGAACTTACTAAACCAAAGGGTCCAGAGGAAGGTTCCCGTATAGAAACACCTACTTCAGACATTCCAGCGTTTCCTCCAGGCTACCCAACTGGACCTCCGCAGACCTCCTTGGAGTTTGCCTTATATGATACAAGAGAAGGTAAGTTAGATGTTCAAAAAAGAATGAGAAAACATTATCAATTATTTTCCTCAATCATTTCTGATCTGATATCTTCTGTAGATGTTTTATATCATTTGTAATTTAGTGTACTTCCACGAGCGTCAATAAGGCCTTATGTTAGAATAAAAAGCTATGATTTTTCAATGTTTTCATTGTGGTTTGTCAAATTAGATCAATGCAGTATGCAGCCAAATTATGGTAATTGTAAGGGTCGCTTCCTCAAGTGGTATTATGATCACGATGACAACGAGTGCAAGGAGTTTATATTCAGTGGTTGCGGTGGCAACAGCAACATGTTCCTTTCTCTCGAGGATTGCGCGGATACCTGTCTCATTACTGAACAAGGTAAGGATAAAGTTTTAAGTCGATTACATTCGTGAATCCAAGGTGACCCTTCGTTGGCATCTTATTATTAAAAGGAAATTCAGTCCATACTGATTAGTTTCCTCGCCTTCACGGCAACTTTCTTCTTGTGCTATCATGAGTCTTGGGTGGTAAACGTTTTGAGTCAATTTAAAAGACGAACAGACTGGTCGTCCATCTGTTTGGGAAAACTAGTACTGTACTTTCTAATTATGAATACCTATCTATTATTGCACAATAAAAAATAATAGGTTTAGGTCAATTACATTTCCGAATCGCAGGCGATCCCTTCTTTAGCATCTTTTAAAAGTATATATAACGATTAGTCATGCTAGTTTCCTCGTTTTCACAATAGCTTTCCTCCTTCTTGTGCCATTTTAGTGATCAACATTTTGAGTCATCAATTACAACAGATCGTCTCACTGAATAATACTGTCCATTATTTTGTTTTAGAATCTAATGATGACGTATTTGATGACAGCATAGACTCCGATGAAGGATTCGAAAACATCATTGACACTATTGAGACTTCGGACACAACATATGAAGAAATAGACGATATTAAAGAAGTGCCGGATACACTTGATGCGGTAGCAAAAACTATCCTTGCTTCATCTTCTAAAGACAATAGCTCTTCTACAGAAGTGTCAACATGTACGTATAAAGGAAACGAGGCGGAAGTACTCGTTGTATATAAGTTACTGAAAATAAAGAATTCGATAAAAGCTATAATATAACAAAATTAAAGAATTGCGTGACGATAACTAACTGGTGCACCGTTATACGCTGCTACTTATAATGGACTGGGCGGATGCCATGGTGTGGCCTAGGCTGTGCAAACTGCAAACACTTATTTTTTAATCCATGTACAAATGCCATCCCTCCCTCTTCCTGATAAATGTTATATCTATGACACCCTGGAGTGCTTGAAAGCTATAAAAAAATTGTAGATTTTTGGCGAGGTAAAACTCTTTAAATACGTAAGTACAATCCACCACGCGGCCACGACATGTTAATTGTGTGCCATATTTGTATTCTTACCCTGATGTAGGAATATATAATATCTTTATAGAGTACGAAAGAGGATTCGAATTTATAATGAAAATTAGTAGGTCTTTCTTGAGGGGAAAACTCTAAGTGGGTATTTAGAGTTTACTTTGTTTAGAATTGTATATACAAAATTGGTAGGTTCCTAACATTCCAAAGGCATCATCAGGCATCATATATTTCGAATAAGACACGTCAGCAGTCGATATTAAAGCAAGGAATTGGTTATCTTTAGTTCAAACACATCCGTTGGCAACGCGTTGATCACGCTATAAGTGCATTTCACCAGTCCTTTATCTGTAGCTGCAAATACCACTTGGTGTGATTAGTGAGAAACGTTGAACTTTTGATGTAAAGTAGAGCGGAGAATATTCGATAAATGTACTTTCGAAACAAAGGGGTATAGTTTATTTCAGAACATAGCATGGTGGAAATCAATTTCATTTGCAAATGACATTCTGAGTAAATGGGTAAGGGTTATGTTCTGGAAGGTTTCAGATACAGGGTAATTTACTCCGAGGGAAATACAGTTGCATTTCCCTGGCCTCGATGAAAGCAGTAGAGATACAAAAACACCATGTACATAGTATAGGCTACGTTATGTTCGTCGAACCTCGTCAACCTGGCATAGCGTCATATACGCATAAAACACCACGGCGTTCTCTGAAAGTTTAGAGAAAAGATGATTTTTATATTGAAATGCCCCACACTTTTAAAATACTGGACATTATGAAAAAATGGCCAATAATTTACATGTTATTAGTCCATATAAGTCGTGTATATTTCGTGTTCTAAAACGCCGAAGAACGCTTCACAATGCAATCTCATTTTCCAACCCCCAACCCCCCCCCCCCCCAAAGCTCAATTGCTTCGCTCACCCGTGGCGTACACTCACAAAATACCCAGATCAGCAGATAGAATACCTATAATTATGAAGTTTTGAAAGATTTAAAGTTACGTGTGTGTAATTGTATCATTCATCTTAATCCAAAATGTTTTTAGATTGCCTATGAAAGAATTCAAAATTTCTGAAGGTCAGCTTGCAAATCCTTTCATTCAATTGCACCAGAGTGTACGACTTGAGTATTCTTCGTGTTGTGGTTACGTTTTATTTTATAAAATTGCAGTAATGCGATGCTAATAAGCTGGGCATCACGCCATTTACACCCCAGTCACATTTGTCGTAGGAAAACTACGCTCGCCTTGCAGCCTCCGTACGGCGTATCCAGTTTTTTACAGGCCGCAGGGTCGCCGTAGAAATTATAACTCGGAGTTATAATATTTGTTCATTTCTGCGGTCCCCGTAGAAATCAACTGGCTCAACAAGATTAAATCATTATTTGTCAATGTTTCACGATCAGTGGGAAATGTGGCTGGGGTGTTAACATTATATTACAGTACGTAAGCAGCGTGTTCAGTAGTTTTTTGCATCAATGATGGGGAAACTTAATGCATTGGAAACTGAACATATTCATTTCCATTCAGACTCTAGATTCTTGACTTTTCTTAGCTTTGAATTTATCTAGAATTTGTCCTTGATCTTCAAAACTTACTTTTCATTTTTTGGTACTTTTTAATCGCTTTGAACTATTTTAAAACTCTAAAAACTAATTTTGAAAATTTGACCATTTTAAAATTTAGTAGGTCATAAAAGATCAACCGGAAGTCGCATTTCAAGGTTGATTTCATATTTGGAATCCTGAGAAAAAATCGTTTGACACTCATTACATCGAATTGTACATTTTCTCTGATTCCGATTTTTATGTAAAACGTTTTCAATATTCCAGTAAAGAGGGAAAGAAACTCTAGGGTTCAAAGATGACATATGCTTATAATGTAAATCTGTATTGAGATGACATCGTCGCTGATTGGTTTAGCGAGTCGATCGTTGATTTGTTTAAAACTAGGTCAATTTCGAAAGTCTTTCCACTTTCCTTTATGAAAGTCGCCATTTTGTAAACAAATATACGTACTTCCGGGAAAGGAGGTGCGCGAAGGAGGAAATTCTATGTCATCAATTGAATCATGGGGGTTTACTTCATCTTATTCCAGTGTGTGGTGGCTGTGGCGGTGTCCCAGGAACAATCCAGAGACCATGTACCACTTCTCTCGCAACCACATGTACAGACCTGAAGGCGATATACAGAGTTGAGCAATGTGGACCATATAAGAAAGACACGTGTAGGATACCCGAGTAAGTTCAGATAATTGTATTTACCCCATGATACTTCTTCTTCCTGGTGAATAACATCCGACCGGAAATATTTTTGAAATTGAAAAAATCGTATCCCAATCCCGCTCAGGAAAATCGTATTCACCTCCCAATCCTAATCACGAAAATGGTATTTACCTCCCGGGAATTTTTGCCAAACAAAGCTTCATATGACGTTCAGTTTGGTTGATATATAGCGTGCTATAATGATGTTCTCGTGTGAGAAAAAAAGTTAAGTCATATTATAAATTACTAAATGTATAATCTGTTTTTTTTTCATACAAACATCAGATATGGATTTTGAACTAATGATTTTATAGAGACTTGTTGGATAAAAAGCTTATTTACTGATCGGGATTAAATATGGGATTGTTTTTCGTGACAATATGGTATTTCCCTAATGCCCTCCGGGCCCTCGGGAAATATCATATTGTCTTCCGTATTAAAATCCATATTGACTCCCTCCCAGTCAAAAACCTCTATGTACACTCTATGTATACACTAGATCATTGTTTGAGGTGCCGGGGATTCTTTTTTTCGTATACCTTTGTCAATGTTATTAATAATCAATCCTTAGTTCCTTACCTATATGATGTGCGTACATGTTCTTTCAGCTACTCCTCATACACCTACCCATGTGCCATGACTGTTGGAAAATGCTGTCAGTGTTCCCGAGTCCTTCCAGATGGATACTGTGAGGGTAGGTGATATAAAACAATTATATCATTCATAAATTAATTTACTCAAGTAGAGAAAAATAGGAAAACATTTACACATGGTTGAGAAAGAAACGAAGCTCATCTTAGTTTTAATTTGCTTACATACTATAAGTTTTTAAAAATAGGTTTAAAAATAGGAGAGGTTAAATCAAGAGTCAGATGACGTCTTTAAAATTAAAATGAGTTTGCTGTTTTTGATCAGTTTGTATTACAACAGGATCAGGAGGCACAACGGTACAATTTTCATTGGACCCAATATCCATGGGAATGTACTAGTTAGAGATTAACCCTGCAGTTGCAGCCACAGATTTTAAAAGATAATCTCGTCTTGGAGAATACTCCATCTATTTGTACATCATTGCAACATTTGCCATGAAACTAGTGGTCGAGGGTTCGAATCCAATGTGCTATGCGCAGCATTTTTACCGTAATAAGAACGTATATGATATCTTTGTTCTAGTTCCTTCGTGCGGAGAGTTTGGTGAATGGAGTCCTTGTTGCAAGGAATGCGGCTATACTAGGATGAGGTTCAAAACATGTATGAACAAAGGATATCCATGGTGTGTTTATTAATCATTGAAGGAAACGTTTTTAAATAGTTAATGATGATGATGATTGACAATTAATTATTTTAGTCCTAGTATAAAGTCATTCTTAACTAATTCATGAGTTAAGAAATCCAAATAGGCAAGAGAAAATTGCCTTATAACAATTTGATATTTGTGTATGAGATTACTGTTATTTCTGATATTTAGAGGGCTACAGAGCATTTTCTTAGAATTTTTATTTATTCTGTTGCCATTCTTTTTCATTAATTAAAATATATACTTTCAGGGCTCGATGTATATTCACCGAAAGTGAGCTATGTCTACCAGAAGATCTGCCCCAGACAAATTCTGCGATATCTTCTGATACACTATATAACTCAACAACTGCAATTCCTGCGTTATCAAATGTTAAATCATCGAATTAAAGACGCTCGGAGTGAAAGTACTTTTTGACTACTGTTTGCACTGGAAATTATCCTCCATGGTGATCAGCATCTTGCTTCATCAAGCTTCGGACCTATCCTAGAACGTAGTGATTGAGCGTGGTGATCAGTCAATATGGGCATACATTTTAAACGAAAATATTGACTGAGACTATTACTATTTATAACCTGAAGCAAAGCCAATGTTAAATGAATTACTGGAATGGGCAACGGTTAAAAGATAGTTTCCTAATGAATAGCTGATTATTTGAGTTACAAACGATGAATCTAACAAAACATCAGAGCTTTGAACTACGAAAACTGTCTAAAACATGAAAAATTATATGATTAAGCGCATTTGATTCACACAATCTGATTTGACAAAATTGTACTTGTAATTAAAAGATGGCATTGGGATGTCGATTCATAATAGAGCTTGGAGGTAATAGCATAATATTCACCAGTACTTTCGATATGCCATCTTTAATATAGTATATTTTACAAAAACATCAGACTATATAATGGAGATAGGAATTCGTGTGGTATAAGGTATAATTTATTATGAAAAATAAATAAAAATCATGTGTAATAAGAGAAAACATTTATAAAAGATTTAAACAACAGAAAGATTTCGCTAATCAGTTATAGCACGTTTATTACGTGTAATTTATGAAGCGTACGTCAAAATTTATTGCGCAGCTCTATACGTCCATAAGTGTGATGTTCTTATGAATCGTCGTTTATACGTAAGAATATCACACGAAGAGGGAGAAAGCCCCAGGGTTCAAAGATGACATGCGTCTTAGTCTATAATGTAAATCTGTATTGAGATGACCTATCGTCCTGACTGGTCCAACTTGACAAACAAACAAAAGTTGACAAAATACGGTTCAAATAATATTACCCGACATACACCAATCGGGCAAGTTGGGATCTCCATCGAGACTTAAAATTACGTGGGACTTCATGGGATTTTGCCCAATCGAGTACCGTGAGGTCCCATGATTCGATCGGGCAAGATTGAGCAAGATCCCAAGGAGATTAAGAAAGGTGTACGGAATATGCCATCATCAATTTAAACATCATAGTATTTGGAAACTAGCCGGTGAAAATTCGAACAAACGAAGGGTGGTAAGCAAGTGACGTAATTATGTCTGTTTTCTCTTGAGTTGGGCTTTCTCTCCTTTTTTAATAATACGTAAAGCGGGAATAATAAACATGCTATTGTAAGTTGCGAAATCTCTCTTATAATATAATTATTATAACTTTAGAAAATAAGGTAAATGATCTAGTGCTACTGTTACATTTCTTATCCATTTTCCGCCTATAATGTTCCGCTTGGTCATTTTGTCTCTCCATAATCCAGGGGGAAAGTAAATATCACGACTGGTCTTGCCCTTTTCAATAATAGGGGCTACCATGATATCTTCTCCTATAAGGAATTGGTCGTCAATTCGTAATGCTATTGTGTTGTATGGTTCCGACCACCACAATGGCCGTATCACTGGTGTTCCGTTATGGATAAATTCCTTAAAAAGGTCTTGGTAAGTTGGCACAAATTTTTGGTGAATTTTAATCATATTTTGAGCTATGGTTATGACACCTTGGTCGTATATCCACGGTGGAATGCTCAGTTGGATACATGGAAGTAAAGTAATTAATTGGAGCCAACGGATGTAAAATTCTCTATCTACTACTGACGTAGGAAGTGTACCAGAATCACTTATATGTATACCACTAGCCATGATGAATGGATATCCCATGAGATTTAATTTAAGTACTTGGGGAATGATGGACTTAATGCCCTTGTGAGACTTCCAGCTTGGCTCAATATCAGACATTACTGTCACTAAAGAATATTTGGAAGTTCCGTAGCCAACGGATATTACATTGGATTGGGTTTTGCTAGCTGTATAAGCCAGTTGGGCGTATAATTGAGGATATTCATTTAGGTGATTTAATTGTGTTGCAGTATTAAAGCAATACGGTAACTCATTCGAACCTCCGTTGGTGAATACAAAAGAAGATATTCCTAAATGACTTTCCAATCTATTCATCTTTCTAGTGAGGTATTTACCAGCTTCTATCTTACTAAAATCCAATAATCCTCCAATCTTATTTTTCCATTTTATCAAGGCTGGCAAATCACCACTGCATCCAGTGACTAGCATCTGTTCACGTTCCAGTTCAGTGAACGTATCGGACCTAACATCAATAAAAGGGCTGGTGGCCAATGACACCTTAAAATCCAGAGCGGAACAATATTCGATAACCATTTTAGGGTTCGGAAAGCTAGATTGATTGAACTCATATGCAAGCTTCGTACTCTGCCATCCAGTGTCAATATCAACCCATCCGTCTGTAAAATTGTATTGTCTAAGACTGTCTACGTACTCCATCAGCGACGTTTGGTTGCCATCATTGTCAATAGAGTATTCATTGGTGGCAGGGTACCGCCAATGGGGACGTGAAAATAGATCTCTGTGAGGTATATTAGTAGGTCGCTTTATGTAGTTGTCCATAATATATCGATGCATGATCGTTGGATTATCAGCATGGCATAGAGTATAGTTTAAAAGGGGAGTAGACGTGTTCAAAGGAAAATATGGTTTTTGATGAGCAGCCTTAAAGCAAAATTCGTTTTGAGACTTCGCTTTGCCTACAAAGAGAGGCACAGTGTCGTCTACAAGAAGTGCAACACCCCGGGATGACAACCAATAACGTTCCTTAAAACCAGAACCTGCGTACATGTCTTCTCTCGAACCATCATTGAGGTATGGTTCCATATGGTTATCATACCCATCTCTTTCAATATCATATCCCGCTGCATACCAATGATCATCAAGTTTGAAACAATCCATCAATGTGGTCTCACTGCATGAGTTTCCTCTCCATTGGATGTTATAACATTTTGCATTCTGTGCTTGCATTCGGTTGATTTTTAAAGTGGCGTGTTTCCTCCAGTGGAGACAAATATCACTCGGTTCGCGACACTTTATATGATGAGCCTGCGTTGGCAAATACTCCTGCATTGAGACTGTGAGGATTACATCATCTTCATTGATCATTAGTTTTAATTTACGTGATGATTCCAAGTCTATGGACAGTGTCTCTAAGTGGAATAGTTTTTGGGAGCCCATCGTTGAGAAGTACCATCCAAGTATCCCAGCAACGCCAGCACATCCGATGATTATCCCTATTGACATTAGCGCCCCCTTCATTCTGCCCCAATCACAGCCTCGTTGTCGGTCCATGTACAAATTATCCATCTGAAAGTAAAAAATAAATTGTATTATTCATTTTCTTGTACATAGTACGTTCTTGTACATTGCACGTAAGATTACTATTTAGATTCGTTTGCTTCCAATTCTTCCAAACACCTGTTGGAACAATATATTTAACATTCATCCCTAAAAATTATAAAAAAAGTTTTTATTTTGTTGCAGTCAGCGACACCAGTCCTGTTCTTAAAGAAAATATATTGAAAAAGATATCCTGGCATACCCACGGCAAATGATTGGCGTAATAAGGGCCTTGGGTATATATATACACCTCGTGTGCCAGCACACTTAATGCGATGAACTGCGTTATATCATAAAATCGAGTTAGCTTTAATCGTCATTGTTTTCAAATAACTTTATCTTCAACAGAGTAGCATATTTATTCAATCCGTAAAATTCTGCCGGGTATTAGCAAATGACGCTCTTCATAAATCGAAGAAGAACGCAGTTGCCAAGATGTGCTAGATAGTTGAAGGTTGATATATTTAAATATATCATCATCCCAATATCATATCCATTCGATCTGTATCATAATCAAAACTATATCCATCATTTATAGCGTTTGTGAAAATGAAACTTCGATTTATCAAATCTTAAACTTCCTTTTAAAGTGTATTCATATTTCACTAAAGCGAGCCTTGCGAGGTTATCCGTGTCACTAGTTTGGGTTTTACTAATCATTTAGTTGGGTCGGATTACGAATACAGTAAAGTGGTCGAAGTGATAAGATTGATTCTCAATCTGGAATCGTTATTACATTAGACTCAGTGGTTGTGTCTGTATATGTCAATAATATTACTGATTGAAATGGGAATCCCCAAAGTCTAACAGTCTCCGTGATGTAACCTGCTATCTCATGATATCCTCAGAGATAATGACCATGACATTGATCATTTTGCAACACTATTACACTGTACAGGAAGTATAAGATAAGAAAAAAGCAATGCTAACGAACCCTCATCCTGACGTTGGCGTAACACACTCCTATCCAGTAGTGACGCTTAATTCGACTTGCTTCAATCTAGGTTACAAGAAGCAAACCTCCAAAAAAGTGAATTTCATTTCAACTCTCTGCCTAAGCCTCTAAATTGTTCAGTTTTCACCTCTCTGATTTATCTGACCCTCGAATAGCTTACGATAGATAGCTAACTGCAACTCCTCGTTGGAAGAGTACGAGCTGTGGATATCGCAACAGTTAAATCTTCACCACGTATCAGTGAAATGAAAGGATGAGTCAGTAGGAAGGCAGATACAAAGCACTTAGGGAGATAAATCAAATAAATAGTTGGCCAGATGTAGGTCTGTTAAGTTACCACCTACAATATGCGTAGACGAAGTTGAGAAATTAGATAACAATTATATGTATACTTTAATTAATGCTTGCTTCTACTCTATAAGGCTAATATTTCGTATCCTTTTGTGTTTGTCCGGATAAATGCAAGATATCAAACCAAGATTTTATTCCTTAAAATAACCATCCTATGACTATGTCAACAGAAGCAGTCAATTTCTGATTTTAGATTTGAGTTTTGCCCTTCATTGACCTTATCAAAAAGGGTCAAAATGTATTTTTTCAACTTGATCAATTTATTTTTCAAAAAATCATCCACATGTTATCAGCTGCTTCTGACTTCAGATATGATATATTTGACCCGCAATGATCTTCTTACACTGTGGGTAGTCGAAATATGTGGATGCAGTTTAATTATGATGCAATTTGATTATAGTATATCATTTGGATCGGTCGACGTAATTATTGGATTAAATTATCAGACTGACTAGGGTATAATTAAATTATTTTGAATTTGTGTATTTTTAATATTCTACATATATTTCTCAAACGCTCTCACTAGATGCAATAGGAAGAAATAACTATACTAACTTTATATATAAATTTGAGTTGCGAACTATAATACAAAAACAAAAATTAAATTTTACAGCAGTATATGGTGCGTATTTGATGCCTGATGATACTTTTGGGCGTTTACATGATATGGACCCATTTTCAAGTTAAAAGCATCAGGAATGAAACCATATTTTTTAGCGATTTTTTGTGAAAGTGGTTGGTGGTCGAAGTCTGGCGTTCGGCGTCAGTAACAAATTAATACAACTTCCAATGACTTACCAAATACTGTTTAGACTGCATCCATTTTTTCAAAATCATCTAAAAGCTGTAGAGAACTTCAATTTCTGACTTTAAATTTGAGTTTTGGTCTTCATTGACCTTATCAAAAAGGGTCAAAATGTATTTTTTCAACTTGATCAATTTATTTTTCAAAAAATCATCCACATGTTGTCAGCTGCTTCTGACTTCAGATATGAGATATTTGACCCGCAATGACCTTCTTACACTGTGGGTATAGTCGAAATATGTGGATGCAGTTTAATTATGATGCAATTTGATTATGGTGTATCATTTGGATCGGTCGACGTAATTATTGGATTAAATAATCAGACTGACTAGGGTATAATTAAATTATTTTGAATTTGTGTATTTTTAATATTCTACATATATTTCTCAAACGCTCTCACGAGATACAATAGGAAGAAATAACTATGGTTATATATAAATTTGAGTTGCGAACTATAATACAAAAACAAAAATTAAATTTTACAGCAGTATATGGTGCGTATTTGATGCCCGATGATAAAATTATGGGCGTTTACATGAAATGGACCCATTTTCAAGTTAAAAGCATCAGGAATGAAACCATATTTTTTAGCTCAAATGGCTGAGCTATTGTTATCGCCCACTTGTCTGTCCGTCCGTCTGTTTGTATGTCTGTCTGCCTGCCTGTAGTCCATCAGTCCGTCTGTCAATACATTGGCAGCTATGAAATCCTCCACTACCATTGGAATGGTTTCACTTTTATAAAGTGTCTATATAAGGTTGTGAATTGTCCCATAAGTGGTGTCTCAAAAGCTCGCCTTGTTTCAAAACGGCGGCCAGTTTTATTGCGTAAAATCAGGTTTTCAGCTCTTTTTTTTGGTTATAACTCCACTAGTTCTACACCAATTTGCTTGAAATCGTACAGGTACCTTGATTTATAGGTTATGAATAACACCTACAAGTTTCGGCAAAATATGTTGCAAACTATCAAAATGACCATTTTTATTTCGGAAAAATCAGATATTTAGCTCTTTTCTCATAACTCCACGTATTCCATCAATTTGCTTATAATTGTATAGGTATCTTAATATCTACATTATCAACAATGTCTACAAGTTTCAGCTAAATATGTTGCAAATTTCTAAAATCATGCACAAAGCTACCTTTTAGTGTGCTTGTGAAATCCCTCTGTTCTTACTTCGATCTAGTCATCTACAACAAAACTACTTTATTTCACTTTTTGCGATTTTATCACATGGGGTCTAGTCTATGGGTAATCTCCCCGACCTAGAAATCACATTTTCAAAGAAAATTTAATTTTCAAAGTTGATAAAAACTTTGATGATAGCACTTTGACTGAATTTTAAATTTTTAATGACGTATAAATCAAGATAATTTCTACTCGCATCGATCTATTTCAGCTAGGCAAGTAATTCTACGAAATTGTTGTAAAATATTGAAAATATTTAAACATTCCCATGTGAGCGCAGTACCCATGGTACTATTTTTATACTATAATAGTATTTTCCAGTTGATGGATTTATATCTAGTCCCAATTTTCAATTCTTCATGAGAGTGTCTTGTAAAAGTTTGGTCAATTGCTTCACTGAATGAAAAATATTTATCCAAGCAATGGATACACAGGAAATCTCGCCAGTTGTTCTTTGTAAAAAAACATCATGATAAAAGTATAATTTACGATAACATAATATCAATATCCAATTGTTTTCGTTCTTGATCCAAATGATATGTATGTTGGCATCCGATTTATACATATAAGTTTACGAAATGTTGCTCGTATATCTTCTCTATAACATGAATGTAGTAGAAACCTTCCTTTATTGAATATGTATGCAATATTTCAAGACTCGATATATATCGCTTCAAATTGGCCAATTTTTCAAAATCATCTACAAATTCTCAGAAGTTCAAATCTGACATTTGACCTTCAATAACATTTTTATGGTATTTTTCAACTTGTTTCAAATTGATCAATGTCTTTCAAAATCATCAAAAAGTTCCTATAAGTTCAACTCTGACTTCAGATTGAACTCATAATATTGTGACCAACTACTGTAGGTTACATTTTCTCATGTGAATGCCTTGTTTTGCTAACATATTGCATTGTGCTATGATTGACAAAACATTACATTACAATTGGGAGTATTATTTTATTCAGCTTTTCAGAACAGAGGCTGAATATGGAACTCATTTTGTAGTTTATGTCATTTATTTGGAATCTGGTTCAAAGTATCTATATTTGGAATCCCCTCGGAGTAGAAACGGAAACGGTTATCCTCTAGAAACATACAAAATTCATTACCCTGCCAATCGTCACAATTAACTGTAATCATAAGAGAAACGAGGGGATAATGTGATCGACATAAAATTGCATCTATCAACCTTTACTCACATCGTATCAAAAGAGCAAATGAGATATTATGCAAATGTATTTGTCACTTAAGTATCGATATAAATGTGCTTTGGTTTATTTCGTTGAATGCAAATCGCATCAGTATCCAAACAACATTATTAGTGTCAAAATTTTCTTTCTTTTTCTTCATTAATAGTATTTCCTTTTTATTACATGCATTTTATTCAAAATTAGAATCAGGTTTCTAGGGAACTGCCGTTGAATAAATTAGTTATCAAATACATTTTCTTGAGAATATGGTAATGGACTTTCCATATTCATTTTACCATTCAAATAAGAATGTAATGTATAGACACTTAAGGGATATCAGGATTTTAGGCGGACACGATGCAATTTAGTAGCTATTGAGGATCAGTTATGAAGGGATTAAGGCAAATAGCATATCAGGAACAAGCCCTATTAAAATTGATAACCAATTGTCGATAACTGCCATATCATTCTAGT